TATAAGATAAGGAAGATCGAAAAAAGAGCAGAGAGAAAGAGGAAAGGAGTAAGAAAGGAGAGAAAAGTTGAGAGGTACAACTTCACGTCAGAATTCCGGAAGAGTTGAGTCGAAGAGCGCGTTATGTAAGGTTTCTTCAAGAATTCAGTCCCGAAGATACGCTAAATGAGGAGTGTGAGTGGGAAAAGGGGGGGGGAGTGGTAAGGGGAGAGGGAGGGCGTAGTTGAGAATACGGGGGGGGGGGGAGGGGAAAGGGGGTGTTAAGGAGAGAGTGAGGGCGTGGTTAAGGGGGTATGGGGGTGGGGGGAGGGAGCATGGATGTTGCAAGGAGGTGATGAAGGGGGCTGATTGAAGGGGCAAGGGGAAGGGGTCTAGAAAGAAACAAACATTTTTCCCCTTTTTTTTATATAACGGTTGACGATGTTAAGATATATAGTTGTTGGGATGGAAATACCTAAAGTTTGAAAATTACTATTAATCAGATTTTTTTTTCTGTCGATTAATTAAACAAACCGAAGATTGGAAAGTTTTGCTGGGATTTTAGAGAGCATTCGCATGTACAAGGGCCATGTTATCTTTATTTTATAATATCAATAGAAGATACTAAAAAATCTAAGAATAGGCGTTTTTGGAGGGGGGAGGAGGGGAGTTGAGAAGGCATGATAATGGTGTGTTAGTAAAAAAGGTGTAAAAAAATCGTGAAAAAGTGAGATTGAGATCATATTCTATAAGCGTGTCATCGGACGGGGCGGAATGCGAGGGAAAGGATAGTAAACAAGTAGACGGAATTATTACTCTTAAAAGATTCATGTCTGGTTTTCACCCCCCCTTCTCTATCTATCTATCTGTCTCTCTGTCTATCTATCTGTCCATCCACCTATCCATCTACCCATCTCTGTATCTCTATCTTTATTTATCTCTCTCTCTCTCTCTGTTTCCCTTCCCCCTCCCCTTATTCCCTCCCTTCCTTCCTTCCTTCCTTCCTTCCTTCCTTCCTTCCTTCCTTCTTCCTCCTTCCCTCTCCCCCACTCTTCCTCCCGTCCTCCTCCCCTCACTCCCCCCTTTATCCCATCCCCCGACCCTCTATCCCAACCAGCACACGCAAGCACAACACAACCCCATGCAAATTTTTGGCACACGAAGATCGAATCAATACCTTACTTACCGGATTACTATTTCGACATAAACACGTATAGATTCAAACGCTCCCATGAATACATCAGCGGGAGGGAAGGGGGAGGGAGGGAGGGGGGGAGGTGTAGGGGGTGAGGGGAGGGACATAGGGGAGTGGGTAGATGTCATTGATTAAATAGTTACTCGTAAAAAAGGTGTCCAACTTCATCCATTTATATCGTGTAAAAAAATACCTTGTAAATCCAAACTCGAGAGCTATTGTCACTGAGTAAATTAGACAGAGGAAATACATTTTCCCTCTCTGTGCTTCTTTTTAATTTGTGTTTGTGAGTGTAATGGAGTTTTAAATCGGCTCCAAATTGCCAAAAAAAAGGAAATAAAAGACTAGTACGGGAAGAACAAGAGGAAAGGAAGAAAAGGAGTGGGGGGATGAATAAAGTAGGGTGAAAGAGGTAGAATTTGAATAAAACAATAAGGAGCTTCCCTTTTTTGTATGTCCACTTTACGAAAAGGGTCGGGGTCGGACACCGGCAAGAAATCCAATTAAGTTAGCAGGACGTAGAGGCAAAAAAAAAAAAAAAAAAAAAAAAAAAAAAAAAAAAAAAGAAAAAGATAAATATATATGTGTGTGTAAGGGTAAAGTTTAACGAATTTCTAAACAAGCTCTGAGAATGCAGGTGGTAGAGACTTGTGATATACAGCTTGCATAAGAGGGAAGAGGTTAACGAAACACAGGTGGAGCAGCTGGTGTATCGAAGGTGGGGGGGAGGGGGAGGGGGAAGGGAAACCAGGTGGTGTTGGAAAGGCATGAGGGGAGCGAGGTGGGGGGGGGGGGAGGTGGGTAAAGGGGTGGCCAGGTGGGGAGGTGATGTTTGGGAGAAAAAGGCTGGAAAAGAGGAGGGACGATGGGGGGGGGGAGGTGGAATGAAAAAGAGAGGGCGGGGGGGGGGAGTAGAAAATACAAGAAAAAGAGGTGTAAAGAAGTAGTGGGGGGGGGGGGAGACTGGGAATGGAGGACGAGGTAAGGAGTTAATTCTTAGGGGACTTTATAGTTTATATTCGAGGACAAGGAGATTGGGAGTTTGAGAAAGGAGCGATAGATGTCACAGTGGGATGAGGAATATTGCTATGCATCAGAGAGAGAGAGAGAGAGAGAGAGAGAGAGAGAGAGAGAGAGAGAGAGAGAGAGAGAGAGAGAGAGAGAGAGAGAGAGAGAGAGAGAGAGAGAGAGAGAGAGAGAGACGGGTAAGAAAAAAGTAAAAAGAAAAAGGAGACACAAAATTACTACACATACACATACACACACACACACACACACACACACACACACACACACACACACACACACACACACACACACACACACACACACACACACACACACACACTCACACTCACACTCACACACACATATATATAATATATATATATGTATATATATATATATATATATATATATATATATATATATATATATATATATATTCATTTATATATACATACATACATCCATAAATACATGCATATCCCTAATAAAGAAGTTATACAAAGGATTCAGAAGAAAGGAGCGGTTGTTGATAGAGGTTTTATTTACAGCTGTAACCCTGAGGCACATTTGGCCGCTTACATATGCAACGAAAAGTTCCCTGGTTACAAAGGGAGAAAATAGTTTAAAAAGTTGTTTGTAAAGGAAGATTTTTCCCTCATACACCGAGAGGTTGGAAGGTCGGGATTGGTGTAAGAGGCAAGAGACGTGAGTCATTATGCTGTATTGTGAAGACTTTAAATGTTCCTGTTGTTTGTGTCCAGGGAAGGTGGAGGCAAATATGCAAAAGAAGGAGACCTGACGGAATTTATTATCATCATCGTCGTCATTGTCGTCAGTGTTATTGTCCTTATTATGATGATTATTATCACTATCCGTCACCATCACCACCACTACCACCACCACCACCACCGCCACAGCCACCACCATCACCATCTACGAATATCTAACCATATTGCCCTTATAATAATGAAATTGGTAAACAGATAATGCTGTTAGACTATGCTTATAAAAAGGTTTATTGATTACCTTAAAGGAGGGATAACCCTCATCTCCCCACCCCCTCTCGACACGATTTTACTTGATATATCCGAGTATAAGCCGCCTTAAGGGCAGAGTGGGAGGGCAGACGAGAAAATCTAGTTTACTCTCCCCAAAGGAAAAGTACACAAAGGTAGCAATAGCCGGAGATAGGCTCCGGAAAATTATTTAGCGAGATACAGAGGGAGGGGGAAGGAGCGAGGCAAGAAGGGAGAGGGAGGCAGGGAGGGGGAGTGGAGGGGGAAAGGGAAAGTGGAGGAGGGAGAGACAAACGTAGTGATATAGAGCAAAGAAAAGAACGAGAAAGCGAGAGAGAGACAGAGTGCGAGAAAGGGCGAGAGAGTCCCAAATATAATGTCTAAGTGTAGACACGAAGGAGTTTACATCTAATGAGAAATTTACACGGAACAGCGTTTGTCGAGGGGATAATTTTATCGTCGAGGGTCAGTTTTACATTATGCAGCCCATGTCAGAGAGCTGTCGAGCTGTAAGAATTAGTTGCGAGTGTGGTGTAAGTATTTCTCTTTAGGGCAGTAGAGTGAGTGAGATTACGGCTCATTGTTCGTATGAGTGTCGTAAATGGCAATGAGGGACCATTATTTACGCGGTAGCGAGGGAATGTATGTGGTACTTTTAAAGTATTATGATTCAGTATGGTATGTCGTTGTGACAGGTTGTGGGGCCATTCTGTGGGAGTGTCGGAGTATCGTAACTGGACGGGAGTAACAGGGCTCCAAGAAGGGAGAGTTGTGAATAAATACCTTAGTCCCTGAGTAAATGTGTTGTGTGAGTGCCAGTTTTATTGTAAGCGGATATGTCTTAAGGTCAGAGTTTCATGCATGAGTAACTAAGTACGTACAGGGAGCGGGAGATGCCAGGAGGGTCGGAGGATCAAATTGTGTTGTGTGGGGGAGGCAAGGGGGGGGGGGGGGAGGCGAGAGTGTATCGGAGGGGAAAGGGGGGGGAGGCTAAATCGTGTTTCTGAAGATTACGAGAGGGAGAGAGAGAGAGAGAGAGAGAGAGAGAGAGAGAGAGAGAGAGAGAGAGAGAGAGAGAGAGAGAGAGAGAGAGAGAGAGAGAGGGAGAGAGGAGTGAGAGAAAGAGAGAAAGAGAGAAAGAGAGAGAGAGAGAGAGAGAGAGAGAGAGAGAGAGAGAGAGAGAGAGAGAGAGAGAGAGAGAGAGAGAGAGAGAGAGAAAGAGAGAAAGAGAGAAAGGGAGAAAGAGAGAAAGAGGGAGAAAGAGAGAGAGAGAGAGAGAGAGAGAGAGAGAGAGAGAGAGAGAGAGAGAGAGAGAGAGAGAGAGAGAGAGAGAGAGAGAAAGAGAGAGAGAGAGAGAGCACTAAAGCGGGCGAAAGGAAATTCTTAGAGGTATGTTTGTGTCGTAATGAGGGTGCGTTTCTCTCCTAAATTCAGTCCTGTAGCGGAGGGTAATGTCGCTCAACCTCTCGGAAGAATGGCAAGAGGGTGCAGTGACGTCATCGCCTCGTAAACTGGCCTAGTTGATGTCTCAATAAGTCTGGAAGAGGTTGCGAAGGGCGGAGATGATTTGGTGTTATGGAACTCTTAGCGAAAGAGATTGAAGACGAATGTAAAACATCTTAACTAACGCATATAAACATGTTCGTTACGCTGAGGGAGGGAGGGGGAGAGTTAGGGGGAAGGGCGCAAGGGCAGAGCAAACACGAGGAAACAGAGAGATGGACAGGAAGTGGGGAAAGTACAAGGACGAAGGAAGAAGGAAAAGAAAGAGGGCCTAGGAGAAAAGAGGGGAGGAGAGAGAGAGAGGGGGAGAGAGAGAGAGGGGAGAAGCGGCGCGTGAGGGGAACTGTGGCGAGGGGAAGCAGTCCCACCAGCTTCTGCCTGCCTGCTGCTGTGTCCGAGGGCCCGGGATCGCTGTACCACGCGGGAGCCACAGTCGAGTGCGCGGTGCCAACCCTCACGCACGGGTTCAGCCATTGGCACTCCCCCCTCCGTCTCCGTCGTGTTCATTGTGGCAGCCTGTTGTGGCACGCTCCTCTCACCTGCCACGGATACGTAGGCGGACGCGAGGAAGGTTCTGCCGCTGCCGGATACGAGTTTACGGGTTGAACCGCCGCGCGAGTGAGTCTGAGTTGGTTTAGAGAAGGAGAAAGAGAGAGAGAAAGGAAGAGAAGGAAAACAGGACGAGAACTACGAAAGCGCGACTCATTAGGGAGTTAACGGGCGCGAACGACAGTTTATTATGAGTGAGTGAGTGGAGGTAGTTCAAGTTCGAAGTTAGTGCAGTTAAGGTGATTGGTCTGGAGTGTGTGTAACGCTTGCTGTGACGCCAGCATACAAACTGATTCATTTACTTTCCCCTTTTTTGAACTCAGCTGGTCGAGTAATGTGATGACAGTAAAAAAGCAGTGACGCAATAACGAGAGAAACTTAGAAATCGCAGATATTTCAATACCATCCATCCGTTGATTTCTTGGCAAAAAAGGAATTAACCTGAGGCTACGATTTATATATAGAAACAGAAACTCGGCCGTTGTTTGCAGTACGATCATCGCAGAGATAAATCAAGTGCGGAGGCAGCAGCACAGCTAAATATTTTTGGAGGGATCATTTTCTGACGTGTGTTACCACTGTTTTTAGAGAGATAAATTCTGTCAAGGAAGTGGATTTGCCTTCTTTTGTGTCGATTTTAACACCTGTGCCTGTGAATAGTGCCCTAAAATAAACGTTGGAATATAACAAAACAAAACAAAACGGATGCTTTAACGGCGATCAAAAGAGCGTGTAGACTTTACCTGTGATCCTACTGTGATACAACAAAAAAATAGTGATACACCAACAAAAAATATTAACACAATAGGTGGAAGTAATCACTCGTTCTCAGGGTTACGATGAGCTTCTTTTTTACGAACCAATGAAAATTCACCCACTGAGAGCCGCGCACGATCACACCAGCCTGAAGCGACGGGTGGCACCAAGTGTCAAACTCCTTCTCTCTCGCACAGCCTGTGAGGTTCGTCTGCTTGAGCCCCAACGAACCCCACCTACCTTCCCTGCGAAACAGAGAGGATAAAACCCCGGATCGCACTTGATACCGCTCTGTCTGCCCGTAGACACGTGCATACATCAAGATCTGGAGGCATCATCATCATCTGTATCCCGATCGCCAGCTGCTGCGTGCGTCTCCCCCTTTTCTGTCTCTCACTTATTCATCGGCTTCTCTCCTTTTTATTCAGAGGGAAAGGAGCGGTGAGCAGTAGAACAGACAATCAAGAAGAGCCTTTTTTCAGATAGATGGAACATCCTATATGAGATCATATCACAAAGAACACATTTCTAGCTTTATACCTGCTTAAATAGATTTCATAACCAGAGGCCCGCCGATAATATAGTATCAGCCCGAGAGGTAATATATTTATCTATCATAAATCAGTGTAACTCTACACCCAGCCTCAGTATATCTCTTTCCAGCAATAATGAGGAAAGGTCCCACTAGGCACAAGTCATTAAGCACGAGATGAAGCAGAGATCAGCGCCGGCCGTGCCCCCTAAGACAAGCTTCTGCCTCTCCTCGCGAGTCTTTGCTTGAAATTCGCATCTGCATTATCCAATTAACCCTTCACTGCCAGCGGATGCGAGTTAGCGCATCAGCGGAATGATAATTATTCCTTAATTCATATTGACGCCTGATGTCTCCAGAAGTGTAAGATTATCAGTTCGGAGTGACGTGTAAGGCGGAGAAGCTGCTGCCGATGCTGTCGATGTGTCGATCGAAGTAATCCATCACACAACTACATCACAGAAGAAAGAAATATTACCCCTTTGAATCGTGCAAGTGCAAAGTAGTCTCCCCATCTTTCACAGTGATGTTAGCAATGCTCAGTTTTGTCTAGAAAAAGAGAATAAAAAGAGTTGTGTCCACTGCCACCGAGAGGGGAAAGGGAAAGAAGAGGTTACTCGACCAATCACCGTTATCTTCCTTCAGTGACCTTTGCGTTGTGCGCGACCACAAGCCTCGACCGACGTGACTTACGATTCCCGTGCCTGCCTCTGCCTTCCTCAAGTTTTGTCCAAGAATCTGCAATTAAAGCTCCAGCCCTCGACCGCAGCACACAACTTGTTGCCAGGTCTTAAGGGTTAAAAAAAAAAGAGGAATAAAAGTAAAAGGGGCGCCAAGTGGCCAGGCCTAGAAAAAATCCCCTTTTTAGTCTTGTCTTGAAACCAAGGCCTTGGAGCTTTAATCGTTCGTTAGGGGCGATCGCGCTCTCCGTCACGTATACACACACACACAGACATCAAAGC